TATATATATATATATATATATATATGTATATTTATGTATGTGTCATATATATATATATATATATATATATATATATATATATATATATATATGTATATATGTATATATGTATATATATATATATATATATATATATATATATATATATATATATATATATATATATATATGTTACCTAGCACCCATTTGAGTGCTGCTATACTGCTTACCAACCTTTATACTCCCCTGAGTATATTCACGCGTATAGGCCACTGGATAACAGATCTTTATTCCACTCTCTCAGGAGAGGGCTGAGTATTATAAGAATAATACGTCCAATTTTACGTGATATTTACCTTTTTGTGAACTTTATTTCAATATTATATCAACTGGTGTTTATAAACATATGAAATAACTTTATACCTTTAATGGGTTACTTACTTTTACTATTGAATATATATATATATATATATATATATATATATATATATATACATATATATATATATATATATATATATATATATATGTATGATTTTTTTATATGTACTAAATATACATACATATATATGTATAAAAACATGTATATCTACACATATTTATACATATGTAAATATATACACATATAAATACATATGAGCATATATGCATATACATACGATATATATGATATATATTACACATACACATATATATTTATATATATGTACATACAAATATATTCTGTGCATACATAGAGATAAGAACATATATAAATAAAATATATATGTGTGTGTGTGTAACAGGCTAGTTCTAATCGTACTGTTGCGCTTGCCATGTTAGTTGTTTGTCACACACACACATATATAGATACATATAAATAAATATACATCATCATCATCAGCCTGAATCATTCCACTGCAGGACTTGTCAGTCTTGCGTTTTTTTTGTTTTCATTCTTGGCACTCAAATTTCGTTATTTGGTCACGCCATCTTGTCTTTGGTCTGGCCCTTGGTCTTTTTATGTTACCCATAGCCCAGTCTGTTACCTTCTTTGTCCATCTGTCGACCTGTCTCCGATATTTATGACCTGCCCATGGACATTTTTTCTTTTTCATGCTCCCTAGTATATCTTCTACTTTTGTCTGTTCCACGTCGGCCTCATCCAATCTCTAATTCCCAGCATCAACCTCTCCATCTCTCTCTGGGCACTAATTAGTTTCCTCTCCAATAATTTAGTTGTAGTCCATGTTTCTGATCCATAGGTCATAACTGGGAGGACGCATTGGTTAACTTGTATTACATTGGGTATGGCATGTATTCTTGTCAAACCCAATGTAATACAAGTTTATTTATTGTATTTATACATCGATGGCTCTACAAATGCTTAGTCATCAAGGAGTCGGTTATTAGTCCTTCCTATCTCACCTGTTTACCCTTTTCCTCGAATTTTGGAACGGGTCTTTTGCCTTATTTAATTGTCTTAAATGTTATCGAGCTTTTAATAACAATTTAATAATCATAACATCAATAGCGATAATAACAGTATTGATGTCAAATGTACTAAAAAGAAAAACTTTTTCCAACCAATTCAAGGAATTGGAAAATCAGGATGTGCACACTCACTCCTACGAACGATTGATCAGCGTCTGCATGGGCGCACATATGCACTCCATTATAATGAGCCCATGCATTATAATGGGCATGAATTGTAGGCTTGCAGGAGAGGTGTTGAAAGGAGGAGGCGGATGATGTGGGAGGAGGATTTAGGACGATGTTGGAATGGCCAAGGATGGGGTTTGGGGTTAGTTGGAAAGGATGTTTTGTATCTGACAGTTTTTTTTTTCGGAGAGGTTTCGCATTCCTTAGAGGTTGCTAAGTCTGCCGGCCTGCGCCCTCGGCCGACCGCAGCCACGGGTCTGGTACTGTGTGTGTGTTTTATATATATATAGTATATAAAACACACACACACACATACGTGTGTGTGTGTGTGTGTGTGTGTGTGTGTGTGTGTGTGTGTGTGTGTGTGTGTGTGTGTGTGTGTGTGTGTGTGTGTGTCTGTAATGTCAAGATTGCCTGACCCTCCCATCAGCAAGGATCCACCCTTCCTGACTGAAGTCAGAGAGGGTAAAGCAGCAGGTATCTGTAGCATCCCAGCTGAACTGATAAAGGCTGGTGGAGAACCTATGGCAAGGGACTGGTACCATTCCCACTGACCTGCTGAGGGATGTGGTCATCCCTTTCTGGAAGAGGATATGGGATCGGTGGGACAGCAATCACCGAGGCATTACACTGCTCAGTATACTGGGAAAGGTTCTTGCTCACATCCTTCTGAGACATATCAGAGACCACCTGCTGAGGCACCAGAGACTGGAGCAATCTGGATTCACTCCACAATAGACCGTGTCCTGGCGCTTCGGGTCATTGTAGAGCGCCGTCGTGAGTTCGGGCGTGGGCTGCTTGCAGCTTACATCAACCTCAAGAAAGCGTTTGATATGGTGCATCGCAAATCGCTCTGGGAGATCCTGAGACTGAGAGGAATTCCAACAAGGATTATTGGATTAATAACAAGCCTGTATACTGGTAATGAAAGTGCTGGTGGGGGCCTGTCGAGCTTCTTCCCTGTAAGTTCAAGGCTGAGACAAGGCTCTGTTCTTGCACATATACACTTTTCAACACTTGCGCAGACTGGATACTGGGTCGAGCTACTGTCCAAAGTCACTGTGGAGCAACTCTGGGCAATATCAAGGTTGCAGATCTTGACTTTGCTGATGATATAGCTATCCTTTCTGAGTCTTGTGGAAACCCAAGTTGCAGCTCTTGATGCATTTAGCAATGAAGCAAAGCCCTAGGGGCTAGAGGTCTCCTGGACCAAGATCCAGGACTTTAGGGGTCTGCTAGATCCTGTCCAGTCGGTACATGCTTGCGGTGAGAACATTGAGGTTACAGAGAGCTTTATATACCTCAGTAGTGCAATTCATAACTTTAGGCTGTCAGACCAGGAAGTCAGTAGATGGATTGGCCTGGCAGCAGGGGTCATGAAATCTCTTGACAAGAGTATTTGGAGATGCCAAGCTATGTGTATTCAAGGCCCTGATACTGACAGTTTTAATATGGTAGTGGAACCTGGACGCTATCATGTGCTTTGGAATTTCGTCTTGATGCCTTTTGTAACAGGTCCTTGCACCGAATCATGGGGTACAGCTGGCAGGATCATGTGTCCAACCAATGGTTGAACCGTGAGATTGGTACAAGACCTGTTACAATCCGCCCACCAGGTTCTCTCTGTTCGAAACAACCCTGGGTGGAGGAGGCCTGGGGGACAACCTTTGAAGTTGTAGCTTGGGCAGAGCAATCAAACCTGTCGTGAAGAGCTAGAGATGGGTTGGACCCTGCCTGGTGGCTTACCATGTGGGATCCCCGTATGTGGAAACGAAGAGAGGATGCAGCTATGCGCATAGCTCCCCATTGATTAATAATGATATATATATATATATATATATATATATATATATATATATATATATATATATATATGTATATGTATACATATATGTGTGCATATGAATATATGTATATATGTATGTTTTTCATGTACGTATGTATGTGTATATAATTAAATGTAAATTACACATTACTATCATCATTATTTGTCATGCCTCCCAGGTGGTCCATGAGGCACTATACCATATCATTCGTTGGTATTCAAATTAAATTTTCCATGGCTGACCCTCCCAAATTTCCTACTACAAAATCTTGAATATATATATATTTTTTTATAATTAATCAGTTTAGAATGAAGTGTAATGTATGCACAGAATAATATATAAAATAGTCAAATTAAAAATGGGTGAAAAAGAAGCTTGAAAGGTGTGTGCATTGTAGCTGGTGAGGGATTATTTTTTCCATTGGCATCACATATCATGTTTTGTTTATAATTTATTATATCAATTTTGTACATTGATATAATAATAATAACTGACAAAATGCAAAACAATATTAGTATTATTGTTGTTATTACTCTTCATATTTTTCTTTATCGTTCATAGTTATGATAATTTTCATCATTAATTCCATCATTTTATTTTATATTATCATTTTGATCATGAGTGGTGTTATTGTTTTTCATTACTGCAGTAACATAACAACAAAGATCATACCTAGATATGTGAAGGAAAGACCTACATGGAAGAACTGGTATGGGTACATTACTAGGTGAGAGATACACACAGCTTTTCTGAATCACTTTATACTGCAGCTTTGTTACAAGAATCATAATGACCAAATTGGGCAGTGAGTAACTGGACTAAGGAGATGCACATCCATGCACCCTTACATACACAATCATTATGTCCCCATCACTACAACCATAATGTTCTGTACAGTCTTACCAGTCTCAGGGAATACAGGGATAAACACTTGGAGTTGGTGTGAATTGTCTAGTGAGGACAATTTGGATGAATACCCATGTGTCCCATGTGCCAAGGTGAAATCTGTAGTAGCTGTTACATTATCCCCTCCAGTTCAGTTCAGTGAGACCAGGCCAGGCCTTATATACATGTGGCCCAGCCCTATCCCCTCCTTCAACAAACAGCACAACCTTGGCCATGCTAAATAATGATACAACACTTCCCCCTATAGCATACTAATATAAAAAAATAATAATTAATCTAAAAAAAAAAATAAAACCTAATAAACAAAAAAATAAAGATAAATATCTATACCTACTCTCCTTCTATGTTCATCTATGTTCACTATCAAACAAGGTGGCAAAGCAGAGAATAAAGGCCTCAATTTCTTGTATTTTCTTTTCCCAGGCCAAACCTTTTCTTCCCCTTTTAATTCTTTGTTCTATGCAATAGCTTCCTGTTTGTCATCAGCTGTAGTTTACCTGAAGCCCCTGATTCCTGTGGATGGTTATTGGTTAATAGTTAAAACAAATAAAACATCAAGATCATATAGCACTACGGTAAAGTACAGTAGCAAAAAGGGTTAGGAATGAGTTATTGATTTGGGTAAAGTTTATAGGGTATAGTATATGGTAAGGTGTTTGTGTGTTGTTAGAAAGGGAAGGAGTTAAGGAGGTGATTCCCATGGAAGGATCCCTTGCTGATGCTGCAAATCACCTTAACTATCAGCTCCTCCCAATGACACTGCTGCCTTGGTGAGGGGCCTTTCTGTTGCCGGAAAGTGCCAAGCCAGTTAAATTACCCTCAGCAAGAACCACAAAGTTGGTGCCTCACTCATACTACTACTTCCTTGACTTCCTAGCATTTCCAGGTTGTGCCTCACCTGGTTTCCTGCCTCCACCAACTGCTCCTTCTGTGCCACAGACTACCTGGGGCAGCTGCTTGTTCCTCCAGCTGCCTCATCACACCCTCCAACATACATGTAGTATTGTGCAATTCGTACACTACTCATTGCTGGTTCCTGTCTTAGCTTGTCTCATTTCTCTTTCATTTCAATTCCACCTTTCTTTCACTTTCCTCAAATGCATTTTGTCTCTCAGCACTTGCATCCCTAAGTCTTCTTCCTCACGACTTGAAGTCCTTCACTGCTTTGTTTCAACAGCAAGCATTATCACAAATGTTTGCTAAGAGGTTTTCAGCTGCATATGTCTTAAATACATGGAATTTAGGTATAAAAGGATATAATTAATAATTAATACAAAACATTATATAAATGTATGCATAATACTGTTACAAAACATCCCTTATGATGATAAAGCTTCTCCTAAGTATGTAATGCTTTATGATTTACTAGATGATGTCTGCAAGTGAATGACTTTTTACACAAGTCACAGACAAATGGTTTTTCTTTTGTGTGTACTCTAATATGCCTAACTAGAGTGCCTTTCACAGAGAATGCTCTATTGCAAATATCACAGACATAAGGCTTTTCTTTTGTATGCACTCTCATGTGCCTGACCAGAACGCGTTTGTCAGAGAACCCTCGACCACATACATCACACTCAAAGGGTTTCTTTTTTGCATGCACTCTCATATGACTCACTAAATTACTTTTCCAAGAAAATGATTTGCTACAGACATCACAACTAAAAGTTTTCTCCTTTGTATGAACACTCATGTGCTGAACTAGATTGCCTTTCAAAGAGAATGGTTTACTGCAGACTTTACAGATATATGGTTTCACTTCTTTGCTTGTTAACATTTTATATTTTACCTTGCGATGATCCACCTCTGGGGTTGCCTCTTCACTATTTGAAGGGTCTGTGTCCCCAGAGTCACTAATCACAGTTGGTCCCACATGTAATGGATCTCCATCATCTGAGTCACTTTCACTTCCTTCCATATTTGCAAAATTTGTTTCTACTGATACTGGACACATATCTGTATGCACATCTTCAGCCTTTATATAGACAGCATTCTCTTCATCTGTATCATCACTTATTTCTGTCGTTCTGGGGTAATTTTCCACACTGATGTCTTCAGTATATTCTTCCTTAACAGCACTGAATTCGACTATCTCATCATGCAGTTTTGTTTCTAAATTTTGATCATCCATGATGGCAGTTGAAGTCATCCACTCTCTATCCATAATGATCTCTGGGAAAAGAAAGACTGTGATGAATTACCATTTCACATTAACATGTATAAAGACACAAACAAATACATATATGTATATTTATATATATAATGTATATAACACACACACACACACACACACACACACACACACACACACACACACACACACACACACACACACGCGCGCGCGCACGCACATGCACACGCACACGCACATATATATATCTCACTTTGGCATTTTGTAAGAGGTGATGGTTGGGGGTCTTGGGCAGGTGTTGGCTGAGAGGTGGCAGCTGGTGCTGCAGATGCTGGAGGAGGCTGGGGATCTTGAGCAAGAACTCCATTGAGCAGGTCATCTTCTGACTGTAATCTTTCAAGGGCCTCTGGAGGAAGTCTCAATGATGCCAGACCCACCCTAGGATCAGTGCCAAACAATGCTTTGAAAGGAGTGCGCTTGATACTGGAATGATGAGCAGAGTTCTTTTGGTACTGAACAAAACGAAGGCCGACAGCCCAATCGTGTGTCTTGTTGTTTGCCATCCATGCACGCAACATGTCCTTGATGTCCCCATTGGCTTGTTCTACTGAACCCTGGCTTTGTGGATGCCTTGGATTCCCATGGACCAGGATGAGTTGTGGCCAAAGTTCTTTCAACTCTGAGATGACTTGAGCTGTGAATTCGGAACCACTGTCACTTTGCAGTATGGCAGGAGGTCCAAACAGAAGGAATATGTCTAGCAGTTGAAAGGCAACTTCAGCAGCTCTCTTCGATGCAAGTGCTCGAAGTATGACAAACTTGGTGAGGTGGCACTGGTAGACCATGACCCACCTGAACTGAGCCTGAGGCAATGACTGCATATCCACAAGGTCAACTTGGCCACGCGAGTTCAATTCATTGCTCACGAGGGGCTTCACAACAACCCCAGCAGTCTTACTTTGCTTCCTCTTTTCTTGGCATGTGGTACAATAAGACTTGAATAATTCAAGAGCTTCTTTGGTGATGTTAGCATACTTTGCCCCAAGACTGCACTTCATTTTGTCCCGTCCACCGTGCCCTGTCGCAATGTGTGCCCTCTTGATGATGTCATAGGTATCCTCGATGGTCACATAGTAGATTGGGGATTCATCTACACTCTTGCGTTTCTTAATCAGCTTTTCCCTGTCTCCACACTTAAGAACTTCATACCTGCAAAGAATAATGTTCTGAATAATGCAAATAAATACAGTAGTGAAAAAGTTACTCAGTACCAAATTTCTACAGTACATAGACTATAGTAATTGAAAATCATAAGCTGAAGAATAAATCCATTTTCTGCTGAACCTACTGTATGAACTGATCTTGAAGATCCATGAGATAAGAATATAATGGAGTTTTATAGAAAAAAATAATAAATAAAAAATAAAATCCTCTCCCTTCCCCATTTCTTCATTTAAGTATAAAGTGTACAATATACACACTTACTTCCATTCAATTGCTAGAATTGTTGTTGCAACATGGAATAATTGTTATATCACTTCCATTGTAAAATATCCCATAAATATCAACTTTGAGATTGTCTGCTGTTTCCCTTGTGTTTCAATGCAACCTGTGAATTTTAAATAAGAAACTTACTTCTGGAGAATGTAGTAAATACGCCGAGACTTGGATGATGGGTTCTGCGCTGAAGTCTTCAGTTCTTCAATGGTGTTATAATAGACATTCTCTGGCATCAAGTACTTCGGACATTGCCGATACTTTTGGAATAACTCCTCTCTAAAATCTGCCTCGAACTGGTCTTGCCCCTCTGTCATCCCAGCCATTTTCACACACAATGCTAATTTTCTCTTATTTTCTCAGTTTATATGGTCCTTCTTTTTTTCTCTTTCTCTCTCTTTCTTTTTTTTCTATCGAGCTTTTAACACTACACACGTCTCTTCTTATTTTAATCTTCTCTGTCTGACTCTCTCTTCATCTTGTTGTCTGTTATGCAAGATCTGTAGAGGAAAGAAAGAGGAGGGGGTTTAAAAGAGAGAAAGGGGAGGCTACATGGTAAAACACACACACACACGCACACACACACACACACACACATGTGTGTGTGTGTGAGTAAAACAAATATATATATAAATAAACATATACATATAAATAAACACACACATGCATACACACACGCAAGCATGCACACGCACATGCACACACACATATATTATATATATATATATATACAAATACATGTGTGTATATATGTATATGTATATATGCATATATGTATATTATATATATATGTATATGTATGCATATGCATATATGCATATATATATATATATATATATATATATATATATATATATATATATATATATATATATAATATATATATATATATTTTATATTATATATATATATTTTATATTATATATATAATATATACACATATAAACATACATATACATATACACACACACACACACAAAAACACATTCAGTGCTCATCATTTGATATGAATTTATAGTGTTTATAAACTCATATCAAATAAACTGTATTGTGGTTGGGAAGGCAACAAGCCTCTTACCTCCCTCTAGCATGCAGGTGGAACATTTTTATCTCATGAATATATACCTATTTATGGATACTGTGATAAAAATTGGAATTGTAAAATAGATTAACAGTATATTGAATTTCTAGAACAATAACAATGGTTGGTAATATCATCATGGTCTACATGCATGAAGATTATTTGAGCAATTTTACCGCATAGGTTCCATAAATCACCTGTTGCGAGGCTTGGTTAGGACAGAGAAATGTGCGAGGCAAATGGAAACTCTGGCGTCATTTTCCACACTACTGGCAAGTGCACAGATTTAATCTTGAAACACTCATCAGCTTCTCTTCCTCTGTGTGATTGGCTTGTCCAGGCAACCATCAAATGAAACTCAGACTTTCTTATTATTGAAACTGTTTTTTGCTGTGCTAGCAATTATAGCATCACCTCTTTTTCTGCATTTCTAGCTTTCATAAAGTTTGTAAGACTCCAATATAATACTTAGCATAATGTAGTTTTGTGGATGTATTAACATCACAAATCACTGCCTTGTGGCTTAGAAGGTAAACTCTGTGTATGGTAAACTAACTCAGACAATCTTGCAACAAGGACCATGCGGAGATTAAAGAAAGACTGTGGCAATTGCAATGGAAGAACACATTCTACAAAACTTTTGAACATAAAGATAACCTGGAGTGACATATGAAGTTATTTATCAAAGACCCAAAGAGGCCAACACACTCTCACCTTGTCTCTTGGGAGAGTACGTGGAGGCCTCCAGCAATTTATTATAAAAATATGGACTAGTCTCAGAAAATGCTCGTAAAGATTTGCTAGTTTTTGCCTGAGCACCGAATAAGTAGTATTAGACTCACCGATCCAATGTGCTATGATTTGATATCAACTATCCCTTTCTAGCCTTCAGGAACTTCATTAAGGAAAATCTGGCCACATGCTAAGCACGATCGTTAAATAGAATGGGACTCACCTCAGCGACAACCAACCAGCTTCACTCTCTCCTTCTTTCTTCTTTTATAGGGTTTCACTCTTTTTATCTATATCCCCTGAAACCTTTTTATGAATCTTCCTCCTTCTTATATCTATAATTTTTGTTTTATGTATGAATATTTTGGTATTTCTCAGTATGTAGGACTTCTGATCATCTGGCAGATCTTCTCCTGTAATCAGAAGTTTTACATTTGGATTAATTAATTTTTATTTTCTTTAATGCTTCTGGCAATATCACTCTACTAGAACTAAAAATTGTCCAGTAGAGGAAAAGGTGTTCCTCTGCTTCTTCTTGAATTTTACTAAAAAAAAATTTGCATAAAAGATCAGTTTCAATTTTTATTGTAATTTTCTATTTTTTGATCTTGTCCTTGGTTGGGGGCTGGTGGTTTATGAATAGTAATTCTTTGCGTCTAGGGCATTATTCAAATATTCTTCCCAATTCTTTTGGTTTTTATCTTCTTTTATTACATTTGAAATGTCTTTGGTTATATTTAAAGCTTATATTATGAGTTATTTTTGCTGCAAGGTCTGCCATTTCATTACTTTTCATGTTTTTGTGTGCTGATATCCACTGTATTATTGTCTGTCGTTTGTTTTGTGTTAGGTTACAAATTATTGATTGTATCTCAAATATAATGTGTTTGTAGTTTTGGGGATTAGTGTTTTGTACGCATTGAACTGATGATTTAGAATCTGTGTATATCACTGAGTTTTTCAATCAAGTCGGCTACTATCATTTGGGATTCTTTCTGTAATTTCCTGATTGTTGTCATGTTTTTGTCTTTGATGTAAATTGCTGCTGAGGTAGAAATAACTTTTTTTTTTCTATTCCCTAATTGACTGTGTTATCAATTTTTTAATTGGCATAGATTCTTGCTTTTGTAAATTTTTTACCATTTGAATACATTCTTGTTGTTTTATTTGTCTGAAGATTGTATTTGTTAAGGCTTGTAAAGCTATTATTGGAGTGGACCTAAAACAACCTGTGGCTATTTTTGTTGCTTTATTTTGTCTAGTTTCTAACTTTTTTAAATCTGTATTTTTTACTGTTCCATATGTTGTGGAACCATATATTTCTGGTTTCATATAGATATTATAAAATCTTATCAAGTGTTTCCTTTTTTGCTCCCCACAATAATGTAGATAGTTTTTTTTATTATATCTATTCTTTATTGAGTTGAAGTTTTAATTTCATTTATATGTGATTTCCAATTTAGTTTTGGGGCATCAAATTCTAATCCTAATATATCATGGTTATTTGTGAATGTTAGTTTTTCATTATCTATACTAATTTCTGGTATGGTTGGAATTCATTCATTGGTGAAACACAGGAGTTTACTTTCTGTTATATTAATTTTCTGATCCCATCTATCAGTCCATTCTTTTATGTTTTTAACTGCACTTTTTAAGATGTTAGTAGCCTTTAAAATATCTTTGTTTCAGGAAACTGGTGTGACGTCATCTGCATAAATTATTTTACAGGTTTCCTTTGGGAGGCTCAGATCTGACATTAGTATGTTGAATTGTGTTGGACTTAAACGTGAGCCTTGAGGTACTCCCTTTGATATTTTTTTGTTTTTTTTTGTTTTGGGTTCTTGTTCTCCTATTGTTATGTTATATTTTCCAAGAAATTCTTAAAGTATCTTAGAGGTGAGCCCTTGATTCCTAGTTTGGCTGCCTTTATTATAATTGCATAGTGGTTGGCTGAGTCAAAAGCCTTTTCTAGATATAAACAGGCAACCAAAGTGTATTTTCATTTAATGTTTTATTTACTACCAATTCAATCATTTAGATTTTGCCAGTGGTTGATCTATTTGGTCTGAAACCTGTTTGATCTTCGTCTAGTTTTCTATGTGTTTCTAGCCACCAATGAATTCTCCAATTTATGTTTTCATATATTTTTCCTATGCAAGAAATTCTACTGATGAATCTATAAGACCTTATATGTTGTTTTTTTTTCCCCTGGTTTTATTA